CGTGGTCTGTAGCTGTCCACTGGGTGCAGAGGCTCTAGGGTTTCCTGGGTGGTGCAGGCCAAGGTCAGTCCCCATGTGTGTTTTTGACAGGGCTGCTCTTCCTGAGCTATAAAGCAATCTGAGATGGCTACTACTTGTGCTAGGCTTGGAGATTCCCAGGCAAAGTTAAGCTGTGAATCTAGATGGTTACTGCTAGTGCTGGGTCTGGAGCCACTTAGCAAGAGGTACATGGGCTGTGGGCTTACTGAGGCTGGCTGTTGCTTGTTCGATAGGATTTAGGAAGTTGTGAAGCATGAGTCAAAACCAGACATTCATATGGAAAAGTCAGGGTTAATAGCTTGGTTCCAATGGGATCTTAGGGGTTCTCCAGGGCAGGGCAAACAGTGTTAGCCAGGTTGATGGGGTTTCGGATACGGCACCTGCCTGCTGGATCCGTGGCTCTGTGGGGGGAGGGCCCAGTAAAGGGACAATGGCCTTCACCTATCTTTCTGTCTGGGAGAACGCTGTCCCCCAGTTCCTGACTTGATGCTAGACACTTCAGTTTCTCCCTGTATGCCACTAGTGCCTTTCAAGCTGCTACACTATTGCTGGAGCTCAGAGGGAATGAGTCTGAGCATGTCTGGGTGTGGATTCTTTAAGGAGAACTGCTTGGGACTCCAGAAGTTCTCACCATTGATTCAATCCCCACTGTTTTTTGCAGCCATAAGTTATGGGGTCTTATTTTCCTTGCACTGGAAGCCTGGGCTGGGGGGCCTGGTGTGGGGCTGGGACACCTCACTCCCAAGATATCCCTCATGAATTTTTATCCCCCACACATGTATGTGGGACCAATCTGTTCTGTGTCTCTGCCCCACTCCCCCCAGACAGATGTGGTTTCTTTAATTTTGTAGTTGTCAGACTTCCATTTAACTCAACCTCTGACAGTTCTGAATGATGGTTATTCTCTATTTTAGTTGTGATTTTGATGTGGTTGTGTGAAGAGGTGAGCCATGTTTACCTACGCTGCCATCTTGACCTTAGGTCTACTTATTTATTTTTATTTACACATTTTAGAGACAAAGAGAAAAGGGAGTGGGGAATTAGGGGGAGAGGTGGTAAGGAGGTAAAGCAGGAGGGAAGAGAGAGGGAGAGAGAGAGAAACAGAGAAAGACATCGATTTGTTGTTCTACTTATTTATGCACTCATAGGTTGATTTTTCTATATGTCCTGACGGGGGATGCAACCTTTGCATATAAGGACAATGCTTTAACCAAATGAACTACCTGGCCCAGGCACTTTTCAGTTTTTTAAAGTTTAAGACTTTGAACCTTGATTAAAGCTTTTAAGCCTCATGAAAATAATAATACTCTTAATTATCATTATTGCAAAAAGATACAAATTTAATTTCGTACCTCGCTTGCCATAGTAGGACTGTGGATCTGGCAAAAAGGTTCATATTCTAAGAGGTATAATCAAGATAAAACGTTTTTCTTTAATTAAGAACTGATCATTCATTAGATATAATCATAAATAGAACCATATGCTTTAGTATTTTGCTAATCTTTATGAGCCTTTGGCTTCAATACACACGTTCAGGCTATAGTTTCTCTTTTGTCCACCTTTTTTACGATTATGAAAAGAAAGAGTTGCTTTTGTACCTTCTCATCTCAATTTTTGTAACCTTTCCTTTCTGTGATACCCCCATCTCCTGCCCAGGCAGCCTTGTGCTTCTCCATCATTTCCTAGAGCCCCAGCAAGATACCTTTCAAAGCCTGCACTTCCCAGGCAGTATGCTCCAAGCTTATCCACCTCTCTCAAATCCCAACAAAGTAGAAAGTGGCAAGAAAGGTAAGACACATTAATCAATTAGTGCCTGGGAAGGACACCCCTAGTCAGGTTTTCCAACATAATATCCCATGGGTAGAAAGTCATTTTGGAAGTAGGGAAGCCCAGATCTTTCAAATTATGTCAGTTGGTGATTTTACTCCTATAGGTGATTCTTGCCAACTCCAAGTCAATAGTTGCTATCTTCCTATTAAAAATGGGCAAAACTCCACATAGGTTCAAAGACAGGCTTGAATGCAAAACTGACCTCTGTCAAACTTGAAGATTCCTAGAGTCCTGATTTCTAATTATCAAAGAAAAAAAAAGCATATGTAGCTGAGAGGTGGATGTGAACTGTCACTACTGGCATGGCAACAAGGTCATTTTGAAGGACACACCCTCTTGGTGAAATCAAAAGTGCTTCCTAGTATTTTTTTCTTCCCTGAGCAGATGACACATAAGACAGGAAAACAGGCTTCTGTAAATTTCTCACATGTCTGGCAGGCTGACAACGGGACACAGGCTTCCTGAGACTTCTCTACTCTGGATTCTTGAGGGTGTTGAGCACGCAATTAGGCAAATGGAAATAAAAGAGACAAAGCAGAATTGTAAGGGGAAGGACAAAAAGAGACAAAGAATACTTTGTCTTTATGAGCCTTTACTAAACTGCTCATAAGTGTCAAGCAGGGGACAATCTAGAATTAGCTATACAGCTGTGTTGGCAGCAAGAACGGCACGAGGTGTTATACTGGTGGAGTTGAGATAGGATAGTAAGAAGTTAGAAAAATTCCTGGGTAAGTGGAACGGGGAAACAGAAACAAGAACTACACAAGGCCAAACAATCTGAATAACTTACAGCCAGTTAGTGAATCACAAGACCTTATCTTTCCTAACCAAGGACACTTAAGAGCAAATGGTTTATACTTCTCCTCCCTAACCAGAGAATACATATTTTAAATCAACTTAGTTGGAGAAAATTGAGAACAGAGACCATATTAATGCCATTTATGCCAGCTAAACCCAAAGACAGATGAAGTCAGAGGAACAAATAACAAAACCCCATTGGAGTCAGAGAGACCCAAGATAAAAGTAAAATAGACCAAAGAATAATCCAAAAATCCCTCACTGTTCATGTGGAAAGCTGATGAATATTCTGCTAAAACCTTCCCCTAAGATTCTCACTGGCAGAAGAGAAATAAAACCCTCAAAACAAAGGCTATCAGTGCAGGCTTGCTCTAGAGCATGCCCAGCTCATACCCTTTCTTGGGTATAAATGTTTTACTTCCTCCTAAACTCTAAGTGTAGCCGCAAGGCTTGCAACCAGGGTAGCAGTGTGTGCAGCAGCTCCTCCTAAGCTTACCTCCTGATCCTGTCTCCAATGCCCCCTTTTCCCTGACTTTCCCATGAGTTAACAGCAGCCCCACCTTGGCTCATTTCTTTCCCATAAAGTTCCTAGGGAGCCAAAGCAGAGCTCTGCCTAAGCTCTCTCCTGTTGCTGCTTCTACCCTAAGTCCTTCCTCTGTTTCACTGTTCCCAGCTTTAATAAATGGACTTTCAAAATCACTTGGACTCATACTCTGAAATCTTTCCTACATAAAGTCAAGAACCCACACACTACAGACCAGCCTGAGGCAGATCTGCTCCAAGCTGGTCCCCGTTGGGTAACAGAGTCAGATTGGACATGGATCCAGCAACCTCAGTACTTGAGCTCTAACTAAGAAAGTATTGAGAGTAAAGCTCAAGCTACAACAGAAAGTTATTTAGAAAGTCTGAGGGGTAGAAGTGAACAGAAGGAATGGGCTCAGGAAACAAGTTACAAAGGCAAAAGAAGGGGCCCTTGGAGCTTAGAAGGGTGAAAGTAACACACTTGGGAAGAAGAGGGGACGCTGGGTCCTCTGTTCTAAAGGCTTTCAAGGGTGATCTTAGGGTTGGTCCCAGGGGGGATCCCAATAGAATATTCACCAACTTTTCAAGTATGTCCTTTCAGGCTCTTTGGTCTCCATGAATTGGTTTGAACCAGGGCACAAGGTAGTGCACCTGGTCCTGAGGTCAGTCTTGGAGCTGCTCATCGGTTTTGCTGTTTTTCTCAGCCTGGAGCTAAAACAGAACTAAGGCCTAGATGTATTTGATACAAGTCAAAACCTCATTGTCCTGTGGGGCTTAAAGCTTAAGGGTTATTCTCTGGCTCCCTTGTTCATTTCCCTCTAAGGGAGTCTAATACTCATGACTAGTAACATGCCTTTGAGAAAAGGTCAGGGCAGGATCCCAACCACATGACTAGGAATATGAAAATCAGGGGGTCTAAACCACATGACACATGACCCGAGACATGCTATGGGAGAAAAGGTTACCCTGGGGGCCAGGTCCTTGTTTTCCCAGTTTTGCCTGCTGCTAGGCATCTGGGGCTTTCCAGCCTGGTGACCTTCTGTACCCGGCCCACTTTGTTCTGCTCACTTGTCTGACTGCCTACCACAGCTTTACTCATAATTATTATTATCTCCAGTAGTTTTTCTCATGGAGTCAGGAAACAGCTATCCAGAACATTGGAGTAAAGAGAACTGGGAAAAAGAGAGGGGAAGGAAAACAAAATATCATTTGACGTAAAGATCCCACTAAACTCATTTTTCTTAGCTATAAACTGACAGATTAAATATCTATGTCATTTTTCCAGTGCTCTGAGAACTTAACGTACTAAGCTAATCATGTGTCTTTGAGAGGAAAATAATTTTTCTTAGAGCTTTTGCACCTTATCTCCTTTAGTATTGTCCATTTGGGCTTTCCAGAAGATTCCTAATTTATCCTTAATCTCTCTTCTATTATAAAGCCTAGGGGGTAGTGAGAGGAAGAAACGTTTATTGAATACCTACTTTATGTCATACACCTTACTAAGTATTTATATAGTACATCACTATCTCTGTTACATCATTTTATATACGGGGAAACTAAGGCTCAGTTTAAGTAATTTGCCCGGGGTGACTGAGTTAGTAAGAGTAGATTCAATAATCAAGTCTGAATCTACTCTGAAACCAAGGATAGGTCATGGTCTTGTAAAAAGTCTTACTGTTGGATGCACCTACCCTTAACAAATATAAGATGATATAAGAAGTGCTGACTCCTGGCCAGGTGATTAAGTTGGTTGGAGTGTCATCCCATATACCAAAAAGGTTGCAGGTTCGACTCCCAGTCGAAGCACATACCTAGGTTTTCTGTTAGATCCTCAGTCAAAGCATGCATGACAGACAACCGATGAATGTTTCTCTTTTGCATTGATGTTTCTCCTCTCTCTCCCTTCCTCTCTCTCTAAAAATCGATAAACATATCCTTGGATGAGGATTAAAAACAAAATTTAAGAAGTACTGAATATCAGAAAATAGGCAAAGCAGCCTTCCTGATGCCTTCTTTATAAAACCATGAGATGGAAGGAGACTTGACCTGCGCTGGTGAACACACAATACAATATGCAGACTCTATACCTGAAACCTATATAATTTTATTAATGAATGTCACTCCAATAAACTCAATAAAAATAAAATAAAACCATGAAACCTGATCTCTTTCAGACTCAAAGGCTGTTAAATGGAAGAACTAGAAAGACCAGAGTAATCACAGTTTTCAGCTGTTTTATAATAATTCAGACCTGAGATTATCTACATTAATTTAGAAAATGAAAATACTATTGGGAAGAAGCAATACAAAGAAAAAGGACATTAGAAATGAAAAAAGGGCTTAGAACTTAAAATATGTATACTTTAAAAACTAAAGGCCAAAAATGTAAACTTCTACCTCATCTTAAATGATATGAAATAAAAATGTTTTAAAAAATTTTACATGTGATATTTATTTGCCTTACACAATAATATATTTTCTAAAGTTTCTATATAAAGAACTGTATTACCTTTAACATTATAAAAGTTATAAACATACACTGGTTTTGTAGATAGGTTTCAGAATACTCTATGACCTCATTAGCAGCAAAAGTTATGCAATAACTACAAACCTTTGAATGATAATGAAAAATGGCCAGGAGTGCCATTAATTTTTTTTTTCTCTGTTTAGAAGAAAGAAAATTTACACTCTTTCCCTTTTAAAAATATGAAAAGGTATGTTGTCAGAATTCCAAGAAGTTATTGTAAACACAGACTGTACTAGGATCTTTTTTAAAAAAAAATTTATTTATTGAATTTAGAGAGAGGAATGGAGAGAGGAGGCAGGGTGGGGGAGAGAAAAACACTGATTTGTTGTTTCACTTATTGATGCATTCATTGGTTGACTCTTCTAAGTGCCCTGAGCGAGGACCGAACCAGCAATCTAGGCATATTGGATTATGCTCTAACCAACTGAGCTACCTGGCCAGGGCTATACTAGGATCTTACAGTTTTCTTCCTGGAGAAGAAAGGAGATTAAAAACTTTAAAAGATAAAAAATGCTGCAAGCTCCAAATGATACAATTAATATTGATATAAATAGTATTTTTTTTAACATCCAAGATGTCTGTGGGTATTTCAATTCTCACTCCTTTAAAGTTTTCTTGACCACTATTTAAAAAATAAAATGCTAATTTTTTAAAAACCAAAACTTTCAAAAGATAATGCAATATATACAGGAAAATTTTAAATATTCCTACTCTCACCATTTCCCACTCTTAGCAATCTAGAAGAAAATCAGAGATACAAACAAAAACATGTTCATTCCAGTATTATTTATAACGTTAAAAACATTGAAGTGACCTAAATAACCAATAATAGGTGATCTAAATAATTTATAGTATATATGACAGAATGTTATTTAGCCAGTAAGTTATTTTTGAAGATTTTATATTCTTCCATATTTAATTTTAATCAAATGAGGAAAACCAGTTCTACAGTAGCAATAAATAGCAGTTCCACTGCTCTCCTTCCTGTCCCAAACCAATTCCTACTCTTAGGACCCCAGAGGCAAAATTTACAATAGTACTAGTTCTAGTGTTTAACCCCACATTTTAAAATTATATGCTTATAATGTTTTTTCTTGATATTTTCAACTATGGAAATCATCCCCTGAAATGAATGCTGCATTCTTGAACCTCCTCCTTATTTTTCATATAGAACATCCTTTTTCTATTCTCGTAGCCTTTCTTTTTAAAAAGGGTCAATATAATTGATTAGTTGATTATAATCACACCTGAATCGGCCTTCTCAGGATTATACACTTAAGAGTAAAATTGTGGAAGTTGCTAGGTAAAGCAGAACTTGAAAACTAGGTGTTGGACATCACCTAGTTTTTAAGTTACAATAGGTGCTTCTGTAAAACTGAAATGTTATTTTGGTCTTTTTGGTTCATGATTTTTGGTAGTACTTTCTTACTCATGTGCTTACTCATAGTACTGACTTTCTACAATAAGATATTTAGCTCATACCTCCCAACCTCCTAGTGTTTATCTTTTTCCTGACTAGGTAGATAATTACATTCTTGGTGGGCAAACAGAAGTTCTGAAGCAGTGAAGGCACCTGTTTAACTGTGGCTACCCCAGTCAAATGTAAATGACCATAAAATCCTTCCTTCCAAGAATATTTTATTAATCCCAAGGCAACAAGGTTTCATGGAACACCATTTGGAAAATACTAGCCTACAGAAATTTCTACTTAATTAACCAATCAATTATCTGATAAGTGTTTCTATTTAATTTTCCCCTCAGAAAATTTTTTCTGAAGAGAAATAAACCTCAGAGATCATCTAGCTCAACTTCTTAATGCTAAGAGAATAAAATGTTACTTTTCTGACCCTTGGGCTTTTTCTATAATACACAATCTTTACTGGCTGTGGGAAAGGGTGAGGTTGGGGACCTTCTTGGAACAGACTTGAATGATAGCTGAGGAATGGAAAGCAGTTTTTTACAGCGGCCTGTGGTCTTAGGGAGGCAAGCCACACCAGAGCCCAAATGAAGAGGGAAACTATAGTACAGGGCTGTCAGAAGAGACTGGTTAAAACTACCATCTAGCTGTGGTGACCTCCCCAAGACAGAATTGAAAAGTCATTTACACTAACAGATGAAGAGCCACGAGGAGTCAGTACCTGCCCAGTCTGTAGGCTTGACAGAAAGGAACCCTACTCCTAGTGTATATAACCCTCTTAATTCATTCCAAACATTTTTCATGTACCTACTATCAAGTAAGGAAACATATTTTGATGTCAAGAAAATTACCCTTGTTTCTTCTGAAATGTGTATTTTATGATACACTGTAGTCAGGATACAGAAAACAAAGCACTCTTCCCTTGTGTCCAAATATATAGTTTTCCTTTTTTTCCCCCCCCCCAGTTTTACGAACATAATGCTGCCTTCTCTACTGGACTAGTCTCCCTAGTCTAAGGTTAAGACCATATGAACTACTGTCAAGATCTAGTTGGGTTGAGCATGATTTCAGTTATTAATTTTCCTGTGACTAAGTTTTCTGCTTCTGGATAAGGTAAGATAATTTAATAAATTGTGCTGAGTGAGCATCATGGAGTGGCTAATAACACAGACTCTGATAGACCTTGAATTCATCCTAGCTCTGATACCCAGGTAACTTACTTTACCTATTCAAGACTCAGTTTTCTCATTCATGAGGTTAACAGTTCTACCTCCCAGGGTAGTTTCAGACATAGAATTAGTTAGTATAAATAAAGGGCTTAGTACAGTGCCTATCACAGAGTAAGGATTCATGAAATGACAATTATTAATAAACTGAGCATTTGTACTCATGTTATTTGTTATGTTCATTATCTGCAGTATCTAACTCCTGGTAACAGAATGTTTGAGAAGCTAAAAGCTTCTAGGTGAACTTAGAATGAAAGCCAAAATATTTGGATGAATATTCTGTTCAGGCAGGTGAAGCCTTCCCAATCATGCCAACCTCACACTTGAATCTCTTGCCATGACTTATTAGGCGCCATTCTAAGCACCTAACAAAGTACAAATATATGCACAATACACTTAAGCAGCTCTTTCCTGAAGACTCGAGAGATAAATAATGGAGAATGCATGGAAGGAATGGAAGGAAGAATTACAGAAAACAAAGTAGAAATTCAGATATAGACCATTACTTACTAGGTAAAAGAATTGTTTCTTTTTAGAAATATATTTTTGCTCTTAGATTCCATTTTTAACATGAAACATGGAAAATGTTCACATATAAGGAAGAAAGGAAGGAAGGAAAGAAGGGACTACCCACACATATACTCAGAAAGTACAGGGGGACAGAATTTCAAAATATTCCAAATACTCTAGGTTAAGCCAAAAAGGATCCATCCTCTGGTTAGGAAATTTAATTTTTCCTGAAGGCATTTAGATAAGAGTCCTATTATGTTAACGCTAATTTCCTCCTTTTACTTCCTCTTTCAAGTTTTTTTCAACTTCCTTCTGCAGGAACAACTTTATCTATTCTTGTGTCAAGGCCCCCCCAAACAATGCAAATATAAGTACACCACTAAATCATATCTATTAAACATCTTGGTTTCAAAAAGCACTGAAGCACATGATTCAAGCACATGAGTAAGAAAGTACTACCAAAAATCATGAACCAAAAAGACTAAAATAACATTTCAGTTTTACAGAAGCACCTATTGTAACTTAAAAACTAGGTGATGTCCAACACCTAGTTTTCAAGTCCTGCTTTACCTAGCAACCTCCACAATTTTACTCTAAGTGGTCAGGGTATAATCCTGAGAAGGCCGATTCAGGTGTGATTATAATCAACTAATCAATTATATTGACCCTTTTTAAAAAGAAAGGCTACGAGAATAGAAAAAGGATGTTCTATATGAAAAATAAGGAGGAGGTTCAAGAATGCAGCATTCATTTTCCAGGCAAGAAAGACACAATCTGGCAGACCTAAGTATGATATCTGTGAGGGAAACACACAGTATGAGGTGGAAATCACTGGTAAGGCTTCATCTTGCCAGAATAAAATATTCACCCAAACCATTAAAAACTAGAAGCTTTCTGGTTAGGTTCTCACATATTCTGGTACCAGGAGTCAGATGCCACAGATAGAAAGCATAATACTCAGGTCCATGGAAAAGAATATCCCCCACAGTAGATTTAAAGGCAGTCTTGTTTATATTAAAGGCAATACAGTGCAGTGGTTCAGTGCCCAATATTTGGAGGCATAACAGTTTCAAATCCTGACTGTTTCTTACTTAACTTGTCTGTGATTCAGTTTTCTCATTAAATGAGAATATAATACTTACTTCAAATGTTCATGCAAAGCATTTGGCTGTCACAGTCACAGACTGCTTAATGAAGCTATTATAATTTTTGACAATTATTAAACGTCTATCATTATTTTTGATTGGGGAGTCAAAATCCAAGTATGATCAACTCTAAAAAATTGATTTCAGACTATCAAAGAAGTACCACAATGTAAGGCCTCAATAGTCATGCAAGAACTTACCATGCATACAAGTTGGGCAGATGGCTTTAAAAGGCAGACAGGAGGCAGGTTGTAAAGAGTTTTTGTATACTATATTAAGAAGTTTGGATTTGATTTTTATAAGCATCAAGGGACCATCTAAAGGTAATCTCAATTGTCAAAACATTGCTAAAATAATTTTAAACCAAACTTTAAATCCAAGTTATAGGACTCACAAAATCAACAAGATGAGGGAATTCCAGAAAAATATAGTGATCAGTGATATAAATATTTTAGTAGCAACACAACCTAAATTAAAATCAAAACCAAAATATCAGTGGATTTAAATGAGTGCACTGCCTCCACCCTTAAAATCAAACAGTACACGCGGTTTCCTGGCTCTACGATCCTCTTCCTCCAATTGTTGGAGGCACTGGATCCATCTGTTTCAAGCCATTATCCACCACGACAAAGAAAAATACTAGTCCTTGTCATCTACTCCTGTCAATCTACAGACCTGGAAACAAAATTATGGCACTGGAGTAAAAAGTTCAGCACTCTTGGATGCAAGCAATACCATACACTATAATTACTAACCTATACATACATAATGCAGAGTACAAGCACAGCTAAAAAAAATAGGTTTCTAGAATGTTTTAGACATAGGAACCACAGGAGGAAAACAAAGTGCCTTAATCAAAAGAAAAAAACAAACAGCTCTGGCTTGTGTGGCTCAGTGGATTGAGTCCTGGCCTGCAAACGAAACGGTCGCCAGTTCGATTCCCAGTCAAGGCACACGCCTGGGTTGCCAGCTGGGTCCCCAGTAGAGGGCGTGCAAGAGGCAACCACACACTGATGTTTCTCTTCCTCTCTCCCTAAAAATAAGTAAAATATTTTTTAAAAAAACAAAAACGAAAGGTAGCTGATTTCACAAAAATCTCAAAGAATAAATATCCTTTTCTCCTTTTGTTATTCTATTTTCATCTGGTGAAACCAAATAGGTAAATTTGCTAGAACTGTGTCTATCTTAGTCTATTAAAAATGAATAGGTTTAGCCCCAAAGCAGTATTTTCCAAAGTGCAGAGGAAAAACAAGCTATGGTTTTAGCTGTCACATAAGCAAAAGCTATGTATTTAATTATTTTTCTTTTTTTGTATTTAATATTTACATATTTACTAGAAAAAGGTATAAAATAAATATAAACCATGATATCACAGGTTATCACTTTGAAAGAGGGTAATTTTTTCAAAGTCCATTAAAAACATGAAGTAAAATAATAACACAGTTACTCCCAAAAGACATATTTTATGATGGTGGTGTGAGGTTCATAAGTCAACTACTGATAGCTGTCCCATGAGGAACAGGGCCATGAGGAACTGGGTTTTCAGTTGTTTTTTTTTGTTTGTTTGTTTGGTTCATTTGTTTGTTTGCTTCCTTCTTGGTTCAGTGTTGTGTTTTGAATTATTAGAGACTATGTGACTTCTTCTTGAGTGAGCTTGTTATTATGCTTAATTTCATTTAGAGTAAAATCAACAAACACTTAAGATGCACATAGAAATTCTATTGCTTATAGGAAAGAGTGTACTATTGTTAAAAAAATAATAGCATGATAAGTTATCCCTATTATGAAACTAGGATAACAGCAACTTTCTAGTGCATATCCATATACAAGCACCTAAAAAATAAAAACAACAAAATCTAGAAACACTGATAAATATTCAAACCGTAGGTTAAGTTAGATGATTATATTATTTACTTTCACATGACCCATCAAATGAGCATGGTAATGTGAGAAGAGGTGTTTCTCTTCATATTTGCTAATATTTACATAAATGTGTTCTTTCTCATTATCTCTTGCCAAAAGAATAAATGGTAAGTGATCATTGGATGCTTAGCCATCAACTTTGCTGGTGGCAGAAATATTAATTTTTAAAAATTTTAGTATGAGGTATTTGAAGATTAAATTTCTAAGTATTCTATCTAACGATGTCTCATGAACTTTAAGTGTGCTTATCTGGGCTGAGTAAGAACTTGGGAGAACCATTTCTATCTGGCTATTTCTTCAGAATTTTACTGGGACATCTGAAAACCAGACTAAAGGGCACCAGGACAGATGAAGTAATAGCCTTCTTAATCCTCGAAATATCTGCTAGTAAGACACTACATTATTTTCACAAGTTTGAGGGAACGTTGTCAGAAGCTGCCAGTATTCAAACTCCCCTCTCCCAAACGCCCCCCCCCCACAAAGGACATGACAAGTATTAAAATAGTATTCCCTTCTCATCTTCTTTTCCCAACTTTAATGTCTTTTCTGTTTCCTCTGCCCTCACCCTGCCCTTCCTAACACTATGGTGACTAATGACAAGAAGGGCGAGGTGAAAACAGTACTTTCCAGTACTTCCCCCGCCCTCCACTACTCCATCCCCTAATTAAGAAATTGGTTTTACCAATTCTTTTTTTCGTACGTCTGCGGTAAAGACAAGAGGTAAGAATGGACTTTCCGAGAGAGCATGGAATCTCTAATGTCACGAACCTGAGAACTTCTTCAAACAATTAGTTGAGAGTTATCTGATCACTGCAGTCACGGGAATGCTTGCTGAGGGAGTGGGAGTTTGACTACCTTGGTTTTAAGAAAGGCTCCAAAGAACCACCACCCCGCCGCCTTCCTCCGCCAGCCAGCCCCTAGACAGTCTCCTAGCGCCTCTCATCCTCGTTCCGGGCCCGACCTACCCAGTCCCGGTCAGAACGTCCTCTTCTCCCCTAAAGCCCAACACCACCAACTTTTCAACCGTCAAGATATGCTTCTTCTTGGGGCACGATAGCAATCTTCACCCCGGTCAGCTTCCTCAGCCCCACTCCTGGAGACTCACCAAGCAATTCCAGTCACTCCTCTCCGGCCACAGTAGCTCGAACACTACCAGAGTAGACCAGGAGCTGCGACCTCCCTGCGCCTGCGCGCGCCGGAGTCGGGCGCCTGCGCACTTTCCCAGAACCGCGGGCCCTGCTGCTTCAGCCAATCACGGTGCCAGGGGTTTAAATACCCCTGCCACGCAGGCGGAGAGTTTGGGGACTCACCCGTTAACGGGATAGTTGGATTCCCGCCGGCAGGTGGGAAGTATTCGGGCAGCAAGCATTTAGTGAGGGCAAACCTTATGCCAAGCACTGTGCGAGATGAACGCTGAGGAAAGAAAGCAAATGGAATGCCTCCCCTTGCCCTCCAGGTTCTTTTGATCTGTTTAGACTGGAGATAGGCACAAATTATTTTGGAGGGAATATAGTGCGTGGCATACAGAAAATCCAAGACACCGTTGGCACACAAGGAAGAAAGCGCCTTATTTTTAGGGGTGTCTGGAAGAGTTCCCAGAGGAAGTGACTTTTGAATCATGAAGGATAAAGAATTCCCCAGGAAGTTGGAGAGGGAAGAAGATAGACTTTGCCAGACTATTTATTGGGAACAGCTTATGCTAAGAAAAACATAGCGCCTTCTGGAAATTCTTTGTAGATAATCCTGGTTAGAGGCTTAGAGCTCATCATATAGCTCCTGGTGAAGAGGGGAATAAACTTTATTTAAAGTTGGCCAGTTGGCCATGGCTATGGCGCTGGCCGGCGTGGCTTAGTTGGTTGCGTCCTTCCGGTTATGGCACATACATACCTAGGTTGCGGGTTCGATCTCGTCAGGGGGCGTAGGGAGTCAACCAATCGATGTTTCTCTCTCACCCTGTTGTTTCTCTCTCACATCTCCCCTTCCCCTCTCTCTAAAAGTAATGAAAAAATGTCCTCAGGGGAGGATTGAAAAAAGTTTTTTTCAGTTTGGCCATGGCTAGATCAAGGAAGGTCTTGCATTTTTGGACTAGTGAGAATATACTTTATACTATGACCACTGAGAGCCATTGGAGGTTTTTAAGCAGGTATAGGAATCCTTCCAAACACCTCTAAGGATAAAGAACAGTGTTGGAATTTGTGAGGAAGGAAGGGAGGCTGGGGAAGGGGCAGGGGGAGGGAGAGCAAGAGCAAGGGGTGGGGGAGATTCAAAGAAGTAGTGTATTCCTAAGGGGTCAAGGAAAAGGAAGCCTGAGAAATTATCTTTTGAAGGTCATTGGTGATCTTATGAGACGGTTCTGTGGTAGAACGATGTGGTGGAACCATGAGGCTGAAAGATTGCAGTAGTTTGAAGAGGGGAAATGCTGAAATGGGGGCAAGTCATGGAATGCTTTTGGAAAGCCTGGCCTTGAGAGGAGAAGGGAAAGAGGATGACAAGAGGTGACAGATTTTTTTTTTTTGAGTTTTGTTAGAATTAAAACAAGAAAATTAAGCATGATAGGGAAAATACAAGTTAGAAAATATAGTTGAATAGAGAGTGAGTGGGGGAGGGGGTTGGGTGGAGGTGGAAGTGGGTATAAGGGACATAAATAGTAATGGGAAAAATATAATAAAAAAGAAAAAGAAATGATAGTCAGTGGTAAAGGATCTTGAGATGGTAAGAGTAAAGGCAATCCAAAGCACTGCTGGTAAGAATGCCTTGGAAGAGAGATATCTCCTTATTTATAAGGAGAGGAAGTATCTGTTGTAAGTTTGTAGGTTTTGTAACAGGAAGTTAAAGAAGTTCTCATTTGGTGACCTCTGTTTTCTCTGTGAAACTGCTGATAGAAAAGAGGTTGGGAGTTTTAAGGGAAGTGGAATATTGTTGAAAGTGATAGGGCAAGTTGGCCAGAGAAATATAATAGGATTAGGAAGCAGTGTTGAGGGCCTGTATACAACTGGTGTAATGAACTCACCAATTCTGCTTTCCTGTGTAGTTTTCTCAAGGAGTAATCCTTTTTTGAGGGTAGAATTGGAAAAAATGTATGGTTGAGTTCATTTAGAGTGGTGATGGTTACTGTTATAATGCTGTGGTTCTTAACCAGGGACACTTTTGCCTTCTAGGAAATATTTGGCAATATTTAGAGACATTTGTTATTGTTGAGACAATAGGGGTAGGTGGGTGGGAGAAGATGTAAGGGAGGGCACTAGAGATATCTCGTGTCTAGGGTTGCTGCTAAATATCCTACAATTCATCATATAGCACAAGAATTATCTCCACATTGTCAATAGTGCCAAGGTTAAGAAACCCTGATAGGATTACCTTGATGTTCACCAACAGCTTACCGTGGTCTTATATAGCTTTTTCTCAGATTATGGCCCTGAGCTTATTGGTATAGCAGTTCTTCTGTTGCATGTCTTTAAAGGAGAGTAGGATGAACAGCATACACCAGACCTCAAGTGTTTCAAGGACTTGTGATGTCACAAATACAGAATTGGAATAGTTGCTCAATCCTCTAGAAGCAAATATGGATTTTCACAGAGCTGGAGGGAGCTGCTTACTTTGAGGCACTGAAGGTCTTGTTAAACATATATATAATTAGAGGCTCAATAATATAGGAGGGGTAACACTTCACACTATTATCAACCTTAATGTAATTTGGTTTATCTGGGTGGTTTTAGTCACTAAAATAGTATCCTGTGGGAATGAGTATAAGCTATGTTTAATAATAAATATAAATACAATAGGTATTAATAAGAATATAAACATGGGTATTGGTGGATTGTCTACTCACTTAAAACTAGTAACACCCTGAGAAATAAATTAATCTTAATTTTAGCTCTAAGGAAACTGAGGTTCCATGAAAACTTGTAACTTTGTGCGGTCACAAATGAATGCCTAGGTCAATATTTGAATTCAGGTCTCTCTGTTCTAAAGCTTTCTCAACTTCCATTAAGGGTCAGGAAGTTTTACAAGGAAGGAGTGGTTGGAAATTTAGCTGAAACCTTTGACACTACCTAAACGCAATGATAGGGACTTAGGAAAAGAGTAAGAGCCAGAGGGAGGCCCGGAGATATTGATAATTAAGAGAATGAAAAAGTAGCCAGGGAGGCTGATCCCAGGAGTGTCAGGTGTACTAGGCTGTGTTCCACGAGCCAGGCTGGCTTTGGGCGTCTTCCATTCTTTTTTTAAAAAATTGTTTTGGTAATTATTTTTATTTATTTATTTATTTTTATTTATTGACTTTTAGAGAACGGAGAAAGAGAGGGAGAAAGAGAGATTCTTTTTGAGTAAAGCCTCTTTCCCTTGTGTCCGTTGTTCACTCTTTCGTGTTCAAATAAAGCTAGATTATTGAGAAAGGCGCGCTGCAAAGTGGGGGGGGGCGGGGGGAGAGAGCGCGCGCGACGGCGGCTCTCTGCGCCTGCGCGCTGGCGGGGGCGGCGGCGGCGGCGGCGGCGGTGGCGGCGCCCGGCAGGGAGCGGGTCCGGAGCGGGCCGCTGGACCCGAAACAGGGGGGCGTCGGGAAGCTCCCTCGCCCAGGCGACGGCGGCCTGATGGAGTGAGAGGGTCAGGTGTGAGTGTGAGTATCCAAGATCCGGGCTGCGTTCAGGCTATGGGAGCCTAAGGGTTTGGTGGTCTGCCCCTTAGGGAGGTTTGGTGTTGTAGGACGCGGCCGGGTCTCTACTCCTGCAGGCTGCGGCGCCCGGGCAACCTGGCTGTCCCCTCTCTTGTAGCCTGCACGGGTTTACGGCGGTGTTTCTGGCTTCGGGGTACAGATTCTTGCGGGGGCGTTCCAGTCTTGCTTCCCGCCCCAGCGGGAAACGTGGCTGCAGATCCATGACCTTTAGGGAAGGCCGCTCACCTCCATAGGCCCCCGGTGCGGCCCGTACTCCATACATCCAGATGCTTAAAAGCCTGTGGGTCTCAGGACACGGACACTTTTTGACCTTTCGTGGCTGACAGTCTCTGTTCTTCTTCTGTCCGTCTTCTCTCCCGGTGGCGTGCGTCTTAATAATAGAATCATGAAGCGCTTACTATGTGTCAATTTAATATTTAGTCCGATTCTCGGTGCATAATTATGGAGAGAATGCTTTGTATCCCACTATCCCCTCAATCTGCTTCATTTAATCATCTTTGAGAGTCAGAATCCTCTTCTAAGAGTCTGAGATTAAGTCACCTTGGAAAGTTTGAGATATCCATGGCTCTTAGCAACTTGGGATTGCCATGTTAGTTAAGGGCAAGTTTTTCTCTTACCCAGTGAGTGTTTTGTTCACTATAATAGTTTGTATATAATTAACTCAAGACAAAATAACTTTTCTGCACTTAGTAAGAGCGTAGTGCTGTTCTGAACTCCATGGGGAACCTTAAAATTTGTTTTAAGCCGTGTTTTCAAGTTTGGTAGTGAATGAAATGATGGAAAATAATACTTAGATTCAACTTGGATTTATTTAGTACCTACTATACATGTGCCAGATACACTCAGGTGTGTCAGTGTAACAGAAATGTCCAAACCTGTAAGAATTTTTATGAGTTTATTTGAGCCAAACTGACGACAATTATCAGGAAGCAAAACATCTATGGATTGAGAAAGATCAGGAAAAATGGCAGTTTTGCACCTTATTTTATACATTACAATCAAAGGAGATGTAATGGGTTACATGGAATTCACTGATGATAGGTTAAGGAGGTGGGAGAAAGTTGGGAGGCCCTGGGACTGGATAAAAAGCAAAATGATAGACACTTAGTTACAGGTACAGTTAAAACAGTCAACAATTAACACAATAACAATGTGTAGATTTTGGATCTCCTTCTGGTGGTCCTTGTGCTATGAGGGGTCTGCAAAAAGGGAAGTTACTTTGTTATTGCAATGGCATGTTTATCAGGTATGTTATCCTAGATGTGAAAAGACAACAGATAGACTTAGTTAAAGTGAAGGTTGACCTTTGTTAAGGAAAAATACTGCCTTGGGACATGACTACTTGCCATGAACCGCTTTTAGTTAAAAGTTTTAATTTCAGACTACCCTATGTGGTTACTTCAGGTCTCTGAGCTTGTCAGGCCACAACGCAGGCTTTCCCTGAGCTTGTCAGGGTTAGTATGTGGCCCATATTTGTCCACAGGTCTGTCATAAAAAATGATACTGATGGAAGGTGGTTTTTGGAGCACATTTCAGATGAGGGCTGAGAGTTTGATGGTAATTTGTTTTGCTTAAGCTAAAATAGTTAAGGTTAAGTCGTGAAATTCACATACTTTTTCTGCTACAGCAAGTTAAACATTCTAAGTACTTCTGAGAAGTAACAACATTACAGTTTTAGTTTCTAGAGTTAACTACAGGAATCTAGAAAATGGTAGGAGTCTTTAGTTAATGATACTAGATGGTTAAAAAAAATATTTATTTTTATATATAGAGGAGGGAAGGAGAAAGAGAAAGAGAGAAACATCAATGTGTGAGAGAAACATTGACTGGTTGCCTCTTTCACACTCCCACCTGGGAACCTGGCCTGCAACCCAGGCATGTGCCCTGACTGGGAATTGAACCAGGGACCTTTTGGTTGGCAGGCCAATACTTAATTCACTGAACCACGCCAGCAGGCCTTGCTTTGCTTTAAGAGAACTTCAAAATGGCTTGGAAGGAGGTAGAAGATATGAAGGAGTCTGATCAGGTTAGTTCAAAACCAATTGTTTTGATTAAAAGAAATATATTTATAAAGGAAAAACCGTGAATGGCAATTATTGTACATTTATGTTAGAGCACATGTAATTTGAAGGCTACTGTACAAGAAGAGAAGCAAGGAATAATGGTTGATGTTAGCCGGTTCTGGGACAAGGACTGACTCAGTGAGAAATACACATTTTATATTTTGTAATTTGTAATTTCGTTATCTAATTGGGAACTATGGGATTAATTTGTATGCTCAGGGAATAAGGGTACCTAGGCAGACAAATTACATATGAATACTCCAATTGCACATCCGCTCTGCTAAATTTCTAATTGAAACCTTGGAGTCAATTAGGTTTTTCTCTTAATTTTTAATCTAAAAGAGACTATGAAGAAATGAGAGTTCCTAAGTGATGAATCAGTAGTACACTGATTAAATAAATTATGCATCTGTTGGAAAGAGCGAACCAGAATCTCGTCAAGATGGTGGCATAGGTAAACGTGGTAATCCAGTTCTCACACAACCACATCAAAATTGCAACTAAACTAGAGAACCACCTGAAATCTAGCTGAAAAGAAGTCCTACAACTAAGGATACAAAAAGCAGTCACATACAGACTGATGGGGCTGGAGACTTGGAACAGGCTGGTCTCTTACCCGTGTGCGTTGGACAGAAATCAGGAGGGATATCTGGGGTACGGAGGTGCCTCTGAGGAGTAAGGGATCACAGTCCCACACCAGGCCTCTGAGCCTGGGGGTCCAGAGCCAGGAAGGAAAGTCTCCATAACTTCTGACTGTAAAAACCTCTGGGGATTGTGGCCAAGTGAGATAGAAAGCATCTGGAGACTCAGGCATTCCTCTTAAAGGGCCCACACACAGACTTACATGGACTCACTAGCTCTGAGCTGCAGTGCTGGGACAGCAGCTCGAAAGGCACCAGAGACATACAGGGAGGAACTGAAGTATCTGGCATTAGGGTAAGAACCGGAGGGGCAGCCTCCTCCCAGACAGAGGTGCTGACAGAGGCCAGTGTTCTTTTTCTGAGCCCTTTGCTCACAGAGCTGGCAGGCAGACACCATTTCTGAGTCTCCATCAACCTGGCTAACTAACACTGTTAGCCCTACCCTTGTGATTCTCCAACACCACCCCATTGGGCCCAACCCAAACTGTTTCCATACAAATGTCCTCTCTTGGCTCATGCCAAGCAACATCTGGCTCTGTATGTGTCTCTAAGTGGCCCAGCACTAGTGGAGCTGGCCTTGATTTACAGCTTGGCTTCTCCTGAGCACCAAATAGTGGTCATTTGCAGGTCATTTTGTAGCTAATGCTGGGCATTCCCGGGCAGGACATGGGTGGTGGCTAACTTTGGCCTGCACCGCTAGGAAGGTCCTGGAGCCAGTGCACCTGGTGGACAGCTTCAGATTGAAACACCACCCGACCACCTTCACAAGTGACGTACTCAAAGGGCTGACTTAGCAGGCACCAGACCCCTGCTGAAGTAAGTACTGCTTCGTGGGGTCTCCTCCTGCACAGCAGATCCTTCACAGTGGTTGCAGCCAGTCTTTGCAGCCCATCGGCCTGGGGGGTAAATCCCTTCCATTGACCTGCCAGCAGCAATCAAGGCTCAACTATAACAAGAAGGTGTACACAACCCACATGGGGGGCTGCACCTGGAATGCATAACTTGAGTGGATAGGTAACTTGTGTCACTGGACACTACAGGACATCTACTACATAAGGCCACTCTGCCAAGGCCAGGAGACATAGCAGCTCTACTTAATACATAGAAACAGGCATAGGGGGGGCTTCCAAAATGAGGCAAAAAAGAAACATGTCCCAAATGAAAGCACAGAACAAAGCTCCTGAAAAAGAACCAAACAAGATAGAGGCAAGCAATTTATCAGATACAGAGTTCAAAAACACTAGTTATAGGATGCTCAATGAACTTGAGAAGAGTAGATGAACTTAGAACTTCAACAAAGAGCTAGGAAACAGAAACAGGGATAGAAAACAAAAAAACCAGTCAGAAATGACTACATTAACTGAAATGAATACATTACAGGGAATCAACAGTAGAATAGATGAAGCAGAGTGTCACATCAGAGATTTGGAAGACAAGGAAGCAGACAACATTCAAGCAGAACAGCAAAATGAAAAAAAGAACCCAAAAATAATGAGCAGGACAGTATAAGGAGCTTCTGGGACAACTTCAAGCACACTGACATTCGCATCATGGGGGTGCCAGAAGGAGGAGAGAGAGAACAAGGAATTGAAATCTTATGTGAAAAAATAATGGTGGAAAACTTCCCTAACCTGGTGAAGGAAATAGATATACAACTTCAGGAAGCACAAAGAGCCCAAAGAGGCCCACACCAAGACACATCATAATTAAAATGCAGAAGGTTAAAGACAAAGAATCTTAAAAAGCAAGAAAAAAGCAGTTACCTACAAGGGAGCTCTCATAAGACTGTCTACTGATTTATCAGCAGAAACTTTGCAGGCCACAAGGGATTGCCAAGAAATACGCTAAGTGATGAAAAGCAAGGACCTACACCAAGATTACTCTACCCAGCAAAGCTATCATTTAGAATTAAATGACAAAGAGCTTCCCAGACAAGAAAAAGCTAAAGGAATTCATCCCCACCAAACTAGTATTACAAGAAATGTTAAAAGGCCTACTTTGAAAAGAAGAAGAAGAGGAAGAAAAGCCCTGGCTGGTGTGGCTCAGTGGATTGAGCACTGGCCTGTGAATCAAAGGGTTGCAGGTTTGATTCACAGTCTGGGCACATGCCTGGGTTGCGGGCCAGGTTCCCAGTAGGGGGTGTGCGAGAAGCAACCACATATTAGTGTTTCTCTCCCTGTCTTTCTTCCTCTCTTCCCCTCTCTAAAAATAAATAAAATCTTAAAAAAAATAAACAGAA